ACCAACTGATGAGTGGTTGTGGAGACAGGTTCCCCAGGTAATTAGGCAGTGGGTGTTTGTTGGTGGTCTTGATGGAGGGGGGTAGGGGATGCCCACCCCATGTGAGGGAGGGGATGCTGGCTGAATCCCTGGAGCGAGGGGGGTGTGTCCTGCACCGTGGGTGGATTTTCAGGTGAACAGAGCCTCCAGATGCTGAGCATCATCAGCCCCCAGTGTGGGGCTCCCTGGGGTGGGGGCCAAGGAAGGTGGGCATCAGGTGGCAACATGGGCTGGACAGGGTGAGGTTCCCAGCCATCTGGTCCAGCAGCCCACCCTTGACCAAGGATGGATTCCCAAGGCGTGATTACGGGGCCAAGGATCCCACCCATCAGAGTGTCTGCCTGGACACTCACCCTGGCAGTGGGCTCCAGTACTCCTCCCCTGGTGTCCCCCTGTTGTCTGGGGCCAGGTCAGGATTCCATGGTCCCTTAAATCCCCCATGTGGCACATGCCATGCAGCAGGGCGACCACCGATGGTCAGCCTGCTCCTTGACCATACGTGTTATAAGCCGGGGACTGGTCTCACGCTGACAGTGTCCAGCGCGGCCCCTATCGTGGGGTATCCCCTCAGGAACACACCCTTAGTGTAAGCTCTGCAGCCAAGACCTCCAGCTCTCGAGTGGGCCAGTCCCCTCCCCTGGCAGCCTTGGTTTCTTTGCTTTGAAAGGGACCCAGCGCCCTCCCAGGTGCCGTGTTAGCTGGAAATTTTAAGCGGGAACATAGCTTGGGTTTCAGGGGTGGGGGTGATGGTAAGGTGGGGACGGGGGAGCTTTAACTCTCTACTGCCAAGCAAGGCCTTTTAGTGATTAGACACCATGGGGTTGGTTGGTGTCTAAAACCAGATTAGACACCTGGTACTGTGAGCAAGTGGCTTCCCCTACCAAACCTCATTTTCCTCTCCTGTAAAATAGGAAAATAAAACAGGTCCCAAGGAGGATTCAGGAGACCTCTGTTGGCCCTGAGTCCACCTGAGCACTGAGTGCATTCAGGAGGCTGCTCCCGCTCCCTCTGCCTACGCTGGGCCTCAGTTTCCCCTGGTGCATGCAGTGTGGCCTGCTGGAACTGCTCAGCCCTGGGTCCAGTGCCCTCCTTCCCTGGCAGGTGACCTTGCCTGTTATCGACCTGGCCTGCCCCTGCAGCTACTGCCCCGACAAGATCGATAAGGAGTGGGGCCTTGAGGGGCATGACCGGCAGCAGGGGCTGACAGCCCCACACCCCCAGGAGATGCAGGCCCTCTTGGGGGCGGCCTGTCCCCCCTGGGGAGTTGCTGCCACCCTCCGCCCCCTGGAGCCAAGGAAGGGGCCTAGGAAACGCCAAGGGTGTGCACACTGCCTCCTGCGTGCGTCTATGGGTTGGAGGACAGACAGAAGGTGGGAGGTGAGTGTGAGCAAGGAGTGAAGACTGAGGGGGGGACAGATGGACGGTGGGGGGTGGGGGGTGAGCCAGTCACTGGTGGAGGGCTGGCGGGGGTGGGGAGCAGGCACGGGACAGGAAAGCGTGAGTACAGCACTGCTGGGGTGCCCTGACTCTCTGCGGTGTGTGGAGGCCCCCAGCCCTCCACCCCCGCCCAGAGCTATTTCTGGCCTTGGTGTGCTGAGCTGTGACCTCTTGTTCTGCCGTGTAACTGCGGTCTGGGACGTGACCCTTCTGGGGACGTTCCCGGTGATCGAGAGGGTCCTGAGCTGGCCAATGTCCCGGCTGTGCTACAGCCGCCTGGCCCCCCTCTCCCAGTCTACTCACCCCAGGCTCCTGGGGGGGTCAGGGGGGGACAGGCAGCAACTCAGAGCCTCCCGGGAGATGTCCCCTCCCAGCCCCAGATGGCACAGAAGGGAGCTATGTACCCCTGGTGCCTGCCTACGCCCTCGCAGCCTGGGCTCCATTCCTGGCTTGGCTGGACATGGCCCCTCCTGGGTGGCCCCTCCTGGGTGGCACCGTGGCCCCTTCTCTTTCCCACCCTTCCTCCTGGACCATCGCCAGGTGGGAGCCGTCCAGGGCTTAACTGCTCTCTCCCTCAGTTTCCTAATCTGTAAAATGGGCTTGTGATATTATAAAGAAAATGGATTCTGAAGCAGCTCTGACTCACGCCTTCCATGCCAACTGGTAGACTCTCGGACTGCCCCCTGGAATAGAGTGTTTCTGCCACCCCACTGCAGCAGGGAGCCAGTGCCCTCGGGCAACCAAGGCTGCCAGCCCTGCGCTCGATCCATGACCTCATGGGCTGGAGGTGGCGGGCGGTGGCACAAGTGTCCCGTAGCACCTCAACGGAGCTGCACCCCTGCATACGTCGGCCCAGCCCAGGCTAGGGGAGCCCCGAGAGAAGTAGAGGCCAGGAAACACCCCAAAGACCTCCCCTGCGCCTGCAGCCTCTGGCAATCCCTGCTCCCGAGCTGCTGACTTCAGCAGCCGCCTGCCCGCCTGCCCACTGGCTCCTGCGGTTGCCGGTGAGTCCCCAGAAGCCTCCGCCCCTCCTGGCTCCCCTCCCCACTCCTCCCCTTTCCTCCCCCCACACCCTGCAGTGACCACGAAGGAGAACCCGGGCCTTTTGCCGCCCAGAGGATGGGGCAGGGTACGCCCTGCAGGTGCTCTTTGGGACCACACCCAGGCCTGATGGGATTTGGGCTCCAGGGCCGCATCAGCCCTCATTCCGGCTTCGTCGGCTGCCCCAGCGGGAGAGGCCCTGAGCAGAATCCAGTCACCGCCTCCCTCCACAGCCTCCCGGGCAGGAGTGGCCCATCCTTCCCCAACGGTGGCCTTTGTGTCATCACCACTGCTCCTGAGGCAGACCTGAGCTGAGAGGGGAGCCCCTCCCATGACCCCACGGGCCTCTCCACGGGGGTGCGGGGGGGCACTGGGGAAGACCCCTGACAGGGCCCTTCTGAGCTGAGGCCTAAGGAAAGAGGAGGCAAGAATCAGCCCCAGGGATGGCAGGAGAGGCACTGGTTTGGGTGTGTGCGAAGCCCAGGTGGCCAGGCGGCCTGGTGTGGGAGTGTGCCTTGCTGCGGTTCCCGTGCGTGAGCCAGGGCTGTGGCGGGGCTGTTTTCTTGCCATGTGTTTGGAGGTGAGCTGGTATTGAATGCTCACTGAGGACAGGAACCCAGTGAGGCTGGGCACAAGTGGGAGGTGGGGCTGAGGGGATGGGCTAGGAGGACAGGCTGGGGGCAGGCTGGGGGGACCAGATGGCCGGGGGCACTTTTTAGGGTTCAGAGGGATCAGATGAGTGACTGGGTCCAGTCCCTGGGGTGGGGTCAGGGATCACCATCCCCACAACCTGGCAGGGCCTCCTGTGTCCCTAGGGCCCCTGCTGTGAATATGAACACAGGTCGCAAAGTTGGGTTTGATTATCTCCTAAAAAGATGCCCCCTCTGCTTGCTCAGCAGAGGGGTTGCCATGGATACCAGCAGGCAGGCCCCAAGGGGGGCCGGGCTGGAGCCAATTACCGTGGCTGCAGCAAGGAGAGAGCCCACCGCTGGCCGCTGCCCTGACAGCAGGCCCGTGCAGGGGGACCGACCCTCAGAAGTTGGTTTCTGAAAAGCAGTTGGCTCAGCGGGAACGGAGCCGTGTTTGTGCCTGATGCCGATTCCCAGCAGCGCTGAGCCGCACAGCTGCTCTGCCGCTTGCCCCCACGGCCTAGCTCGGCCCCGGAGCCTCGCTTGGGCCCTTCTTGGAGTGGGGGTACCCCAAGCAAGTGGCTCACAGCCTCCTGGGGGCCCAGGCTGGGGAGGGCTGGAGGCTGGAGGAGCAGCTGGCTCTGGCGAGGTCCGCTGAACCTGACACCAGCCGAGCTCCCAGACCACGGCTTCGGGCCTGGCAGCCGCCGGACCGCTCAGGGGGTGATGTGGCAGGCGTGGTCACGATGGGTGGCCACTGACATAGCCTGGTTGGTGGTGTGGCCCAGTTCGTGGCAGGGCGTGGTTGAGGACATTGGCACTGCTGTGACGTAGCGTGGTTGGTGACGTGGGCCATCCTTGGTGGTGAGGTCCAGAGCCCAGCCTGGTGAGTACCCGGGGCCCCCATCCCACCCCAACCCACGTCTTCCTCTTCCGTGAGTCCTCGGGGACAGGAAGCGCTGTTTTCATAGGCATCGTTACATCCGGTGACAGGTGAGAGGCTGGTGAGAGCAGGAATAATCAGGCCCGACCTTCCTGAGAAGGCCGGTAAGGAGAGAGCCTGAAGAGGATGTCAGCAGTTTAAGTAGAACAGCAGGCTGAGGGGGCCCCCTCACAGCCTCCTGCGCATGGCCAGCCCGGGGAGGGGTGTCCTGGGTTTGGGGAGTTCTGGACCAGGCCTGCCTCTCTGGACCGCCATCCTGGGGCTGCGGGTACCCGACAGCTAACAAATGGCCCCGCCCTGGAGGCTGAGACAACGCAAGAGACAGAGGAGCCCCCAGGATGTGGGTGCCTATCCTGGGGACCAGAGTCCAGGAGGGCACACTCCTTATGACCACTGAACATGTTGGCCTTGCTAGGGCTCTGAGCTTGGGGCATGCATCGGCACCGGCCCAGACAGAGAGGATCCAGTGTGGCGAGGGCCCCAGCATGAGTGGGGGGCCCCCAAGGTCACAGGTCTGGGTGGGGGAAGGTGGCCCGTGGTCCTCTCCTTCCTCCCACCTGGCTCCAGCCCCAGCACTTAGCCGGCCTCCTGTCTGCAGAATCCTGCTCTTAGCTAACTGCCAGGAAAGGTGTTAGCTGTCAACGAAGGTGTTAGCTGATAACTCAAGTGTTAGCTGATAAGCCGTAACCCTCCCAGGGGGATTCACATTTTAATAGACTCACTCCTGAAGGAGGAAAGAACCTTTGGCATTCAAAGAGGGGGGCTCTAACGGTGGGATGATAGGCAGAGAGCTTCATATTGGGGTGTGTGGCCCCGATGGTGAGGCCAGGGTGGATACAGTGCCCCAGGGGTATAGGGTCTTTGGTAAGGCCCTGTGTCTGGCCTCGAGATGGTGGCAGGGGCGGGGGGGTATGAGGAATTGTGCAGGCATCGACTGGCTGGAGAGGAGTAAGCACCTCACCCGCGGAGGAGATCAAGCAGAGAATGAGGCCGAAGGGAGGAGGCTGCAGGAGGAGCTCCATGCCAAGTCAGGATGTGTGGAGGAGGGAGCAGCCTGCCTGGAGGGGGCTCGCAGGGCGGGCGGGGCTGCTGCTGCCTGCCCTCCTGACCCTGCCCTCAGGCACCCAGGCTCCTGATCCTGTAAGAACAGAGTTGCTCTGGAGCCCACAGTACCTGTGAGTTTTGTGTGTCGTGTGGGTGGGACCCAGACCCCCCTACAGGAGGGCTGCTGGGGGTTGTGGCTCCCGGCTCTAAGGCCCTCGCGGTTTCCTCATTAAAGCACAGCTTTCTGCAGTGGTGAGGCCTCCTCAGAATCCGGGCAGCCCTGGTGCCTCAGGGGCTCCGGGAGCCTGGGCAGGGGGCCTGCACAGAGCACAGGGTCTGGGCCACAGCCCCTCCCTTCCTGCAGCTTGGGAGGGCTCTCAGGAGGCGCTGCTGCAGAAGCTGCTGGAAGCCCAGCAGCTGGCTGCCTGTCAGGCCTGGGAGTGAGCCTCGGCTCTGTGTGAGCTCAGCCGGCCTGATCCTCAGCCGATAGGCCAGTGGGGCAGGGCACAGGCCAGGGACGGTGCTGGGACTGACGGGAATGGTGGGCAGGCCCGGGGCGCTCGCTGGTGTACTGAGAAGGTATCTGCAGGCATGAGTGTCCATCTCAGGAGGGCTTCATATGGTCCTTGGTAGTGACCCCGCTAACCTCGAGCGGCTGGTGTGAGCCTGTCAGCTTGTATGTTTGAGCGCTGGGCAGGGCGGCGTGGGGCATCTGCAGGTGAGCTTTCTCAGTGTGGAGCGTGGAACTCCCCAGGCAGGTTTCAGCCAAGTCGTTTCCATGTGGCAGGTGGAGCAGGGGTCACAGCACCTGAGTCTTCAGGGGTGACAGCACGTCCTAGGCCCGGCTCAAGGCTACTCCCGAGGACTGATCCCAGGGGCCAGCCTGGCTCCAGCATGACCCCCAGCCTCACGGGGCCCCCTGCCTGTTAACCACCTCCTCCTCTGCCCACAGGGAGCCAGCTGCTGGCCTGGGTGCTGTGGCTGCAGGCGTGGCGCGTGGCTGCCCCATGCCCGGGGGCCTGCGTATGCTACAACGAGCCCAAGGTGACGACGAGCTGTCCGCAGCAGGGCCTCCAGGCCGTGCCCACTGACATCCCGGCCGCCAGCCAGCGCGTCTTCCTGCACGGCAACCGCATCGTGCACGTGCCCGCGGCCGGCTTCCGCGCCTGCCGCAACCTCACCATCCTGTGGCTGCATTCGAATGCGCTGGCCCGCATCGACGCGGCTGCCTTCACCGGCCTGGCCCTTCTCGAGCAGCTGGACCTGAGCGACAACCCGCAGCTGCGTGCCGTGGACCCCGCCACGTTCCATGGCCTGAGCCGCCTGCACACACTGCACCTGGACCGCTGCGGCCTGCAGGAGCTGGGCCCTGGCCTGTTCCGTGGCCTGGCCGCCCTGCAGTACCTCTACCTACAGGACAACGGGCTGCAGGCGCTGCCCGACGACGCCTTCCGCGACCTGGGCAACCTCACGCACCTCTTCCTGCACGGCAACCGCATCCCCAGCGTGCCCGAGCGCGCCTTCCGCGGCCTGCACAGCCTCGACCGCCTCCTTCTGCATCAGAACCGCGTGGCCCGCGTGCACCCGCATGCCTTCCGTGACCTCGGCCGCCTCATGACGCTCTACCTGTTTGCCAACAACCTCTCGGCGCTGCCCGCAGAGGCCCTGGCGCCCCTGCGGGCCCTGCAGTACCTGCGGCTCAATGATAACCCCTGGGTGTGTGACTGCCGGGCACGGCCTCTCTGGGCCTGGCTGCAGCAGTTCCGGGGCTCCTCATCCGAGCTGCCCTGCAGCCTGCCCCCACGCCTGGCCGGCCGTGACCTCAAGCGCTTGGCCGCCGCCGACCTGGAGGGCTGCGCCGTGGCTGCCAGGCCCTCCCGTCCCTTCTGGACCGGCGGGCCTACTGACGAAGAGCCTCTGGGGCTGCCCAAGTGCTGCCAGCCGGATGCGGCGGACAAGGCCTCAGTGTTGGAGGCGGGGAGCCCGGCCTCCGCCGGCAATGCGCTCAAGGGACGTGTGCCATCCGGCGACAGCCCGCCAGGCAACAGCTCCGGCCCGCGGCACATCAACGACTCCCCCTTCGGGACCCTGCCCGGCTCGGCTGAGCCCCCGCTGACCGGGATGCGGCCCGAGGGCTCCGAGCCACCAGGGCCCCCCACCACGGGCCCTCGCCGGAAGCCAGGCTGTTCCCGCAGGAACCGCACCCGTGGCCAGTGCCGTCTGGGCCAGGCGAGCGGTGGGGGCGGCGGCGCTGCGGATGCAGAGGCCTCGGGCGCCCTGCCCAGCCTCGCCTGCGGCCTGGCCCCCCTGGGCCTCGCGCTGGCGCTGTGGACGGTGCTGGGGCCCTGCTGACCAGCCACCAAGCGGGAGGCCTTTCTCAGCAGTCAGGTGTGTGTACATACGGGGTCCCCTGGGCACCGCCAGCCAGCACCGGGCGGCAGGCCCTCCCTGATGGACGCGTCCCGCCCGCCCACCCCATCTCCACTCCATCATGTTTACAGGGTGCGGCGGCAGCGTTTGTTCCAGAACGCCCCCTCCCACCCGGATCGCGGTATATAGAGATATGCATTTTATTTTACTTGTGTAAAAATATCGGACGACGTGGAATAAAGAGATCTTTTCTTATGCTGTGGCCTCTCGGGCTGGGGCGCTGTGGGCAGTGAGAGGCATGGGGGCCCTGGGCTGCAGCCCCGCCGCAGTCACAGGCACGTGGAAGCCCCGGCAGGGAAGGGAGCTGCCTGCTGGTGCAGCCTGCCCTTTCAGCCCCGTAGCACCCGTGGTGGTCACCGGGGATGTGTCATGCCCCGCCCCCTCCCCACCCCAGCCGCGAAGACTAACGTCCGTTAGCCCGCCAGGCACCTTAGCCACCCTCCCTCCCAGCTGGGTCGATAGCAGCGTCTGTCCAGGGAGAGGCGTGTGTCCAGCACAGGCCACACAGCAGACCCGCGGAGCAGGTTGGGGCTGCCTTTCCGGGGGTGTCTGCACTGCCGCAACACGGACCCCCGGAGCTCCCAGGCTTCCACCGCCACCAGCGCCCCCCAGACGCCCCCCCAGCTCCAGGTGGGTTGGGGTGGTCCCAGGAGGACCCCGTGCAGGTAGACAGGGTGGCCCTGAAGGAGAGCCGAGTGGGTGAGGCCAGGCCCCTCCCTCCGAGGTGTGGCAGGGCTCGTGTGTACCCCCACCCCACGGCACACGGTCTCATGCCAGACCCGCAGCCGTGCCCGCGTAAGCGCGTGCCCGGGCACGTGCGCACTTACACCACGCCACACCCCAAACCCGGGCCTGCATGGTCTGCGTGACCCTGTGCACACACGCGCACACGGCACGTACGCAGGCAGGGCGAGGACCACGCGTATGCACACACATGCACGCACATGTGTGCTTGCAAACACAGCACACACAGCACAGGCAAAGATATGCACACGCACGCACGTTTTCTCAAGGCCTGGGCCCGTGAGGACTCAGACACAAAAGGGAAAGAGGCCACGTGGCCTGTGGCTGAAGCTCCCCCATCCCCCTGGGGCAGGGGCCTTGGGGAGCAGGGTGAGGGAGGAAGCACAGTGAGTTGGGGGAGGGAGTAGGGGGAGCGTTGCTGGTGGAACCAGATGGCGGTGGGGGCGGCCAGGGCTCCAGAAGCCCAAGGGAGGGAGGAGGAGGGGGGACTTGCTCAGCAACCAGGCTCCCGGCTCCCCTACCCAGCTCCTCTGTGCACACGGTGTGGGCTCAGGCCCTCCCCACCCCGGGGCTCAGGGCTCTTCTTGAGCCTGGGCACACTGGCCGCTGCCTGCCCCCCCACCCACCACCCGCCGGTATGGGCCCTTGCGGGTTGTCCCTCTGCACAAAGGATGCCAGCACATCTAAGCTCAAAGACCTGACTGCTTTGAGACTGCCCAGGCTCGGGGGGGGCAGCTCAGGCAGACCCCACAGGGGTAGGGACACGGTGTGCCCAAAGCTCCTGTCTCAGCCCCTCTGGACCTAGGAGACCCTATTGCTCCCCCTTGATAGCCTTCACAGAGGCAGCTCGGTGGTCTGGTGTGGTGGTGTTGGACAGCCTTGGCCCTACGCCCGAAGGCCCACCATCAGTGCTCCCTGGCTCCTTGTCCCTGGGCATCGGTGGGCAGAGGGAGCATAGGATGAGAGTTTTTTTAATCCAGTTTTCACCTGAGCAGACCCTGCCCTGCCAAACTGCTAGGTCTGGGGAAGGGGCAGGGCTCCAAGCTGAGGCTGAGGGGCTTTTGCATAGCATGGTGGCCCCTGGGCTCCCACCACCTTCCTGGCAGCCAGGAAATGGCAGATGCCCGTTGGCAAAAGAGCTTTGCCGAGAGCAGATACCCACCTGAGCTCCTCAGCTTGCGTGCCTCCCAGGACAGGGCACTCACTCACTATGTTGAGCCTGCTCCTCTCTGAGAGACACCTCAAGGCACTTTGAAGGCTAACTGTGTCTATCACCACAAACTGGCCCTCACGTCTGGAAGCCCACTGGCAGCTCGGGAGACCCCAGGGCCCCATGCTGAGCTGCGTGTGCCTTGGCTGACCCCCCACATGCCCTGGATGGGCCCTGCCTCCACAGCACATGTTCCTCGTGGTGCTGCCAGAGCCCAGAGCCCCTCCCTTGGGACTCTGCACCCTCCTTTCCCCCAGGAGGGAGAAACCTAGGCCATGGCAAGGAGTGGGGACAAGGGGCCGACCAGGTTTTCAGAGGGTGAAGCAGGTGGATGTGTGAGCCCAGGTGGAACTGGAGGGGGTAGGGGGTCGCATCCCACAGACCTTGGAGGCTTTGTCCTGAGAGGGGCAAAGGCAGGATCTGATTTCCAGAGAAGGTCCCTCTGGCTGCTGTGTGCGCAGTAGAGGCTTGTGCAGTGGGAGGGGGGCCAGGCCCGAGTAGGGTGGGGTGGGGGGCTCAGGAGGGACATGGCTGCATTTCGATTTGGATCTGGCAGAAGGCAGAGATGGTGGGCAGGACTCCCGGCGTCTGCCCTGAGCAGCCGGCATGGGGCGCCCATCCCCAAGGTGGGGGTGCAGGAGGAGCGGCCACCGTCGTCGAGGCCCAGGAGACATCTGGGCGGGGGTGTCGCGTGGGCTGTGCGGGCTGAGCTCAGGAGAGGGGCCTGGGCTGGAGGACAATTTGGGAGTCGTGAGCGTTTGGGTGATATTTACAGCCCAGGAAGTGATGAGATCACCGGCCGGTGCTGGTGAGGGGCAGGGAGGGGTGGGAGTGCTGAGCCTGAGGCTGCGGGCTCAGCTCCTGCCTGCCCCCACCGGACCCCCAACCCCTTAGCGGCCCCCTGCTGATTCCCTGAGGTGGGGCCCCTGGCCCCTGGTGGGCGGGTGGCTGATGTCCAGCCTCAGTCTCTCGAACCCTGAGATCTGCACTGGAAGCTAATTAAAACCATGAGAAGTGGTGTTGAGTGTCAGCTCCCCCCGCCACCCCGGCAGCGGCTGCTGGTTTACAGCGAATGCTCCTGGCCTCCATCCAAAGATGCCACGCCAGCCACAGGGCAACCTGTGGACAGAGCATCCTTCACAGCTCACAGGTCAGCACTGCCAAGAGCAATCGGGAGAGGATGACCCCGGGTGCCGGGGCTCACTGGGGGTCAATGGGGCCGGTGAGCAGCCCTCTCGGATGCTTGGCTCAGGGCTGGGCTGCCCCCAAGGGTCACTTCTCTGCCAGCCCTGACTCCGGGGCCCTAGGAGGGTAGTGAGGCACGATCGCAGGCCCTCTGGGAGCCAAAGGGTCCCTGGGGGCCGCCCTGGGTTGCCATCCACCCCAGGGGCTGCAGGGTTGGTTCAGGTCCTAGGATAGAAGCATCTGCCCCCATTTATCTGGCTGCCGGGGCTTTGCACAGTAATCGAAAGAATTATTTTTTAATGCTTAAATTAGTTCTGAAATAATAGAAGCAGCAGAATATTCAGCAGCTGATGGTCGACTGATGTCCAGTGAGACCGAGAACATGCCGGAAACATGTTTAGAGAGAAGCTGTGTTTATCTGTTGGAAGAGCTGGGGCTTGGGGCGGCAGGGTGGAGGCCCCTCCTCACAGCCAGGGTGCCTGCCCTGGTCACGGCCCTGCCCCGGCTCTCGCCGGGGCGGGCACCTCACACACCTCGTCTCATTCATGTCCTCACAGCAAGAGGCTGCTGACGCCCCCAGTGTGCAGATGAGGACGCTGAGGCCCAGGGGCGTGAAGTGATGTGCATGGGCAGCATTGGACCTACCTGAGGCCAGCACACTTGCTCAGACACACCCCGAGAGCTGGGGCTGGCACATGGCTTCCTCACCCCAGTGCCAGGACAGCACATGAACTGAGCGTCAGTCTCTCTGCCTTGTGCCAGTCAGCCTGGGGGTGTCAGCCCAGGGGTGTCCCTCAGCCTGAGGGCAGCATTCGGCCCTGTAGGCAGATACACCCCGAGCTGTAGTGGACATGTGACCACAATGACACAACTTGTCCCCCTCCCACCCAGCCTCTCTAGCAGCCTTGTTCCTGGTCCGCCTTGCTCCGCACCCCCGTCTGTCTTCTCCTACCCTGCCTCGGAGCCCTGGACAACAGGCCCAGTCACTGTGTGCAGCACAGCCCAGGAGCCTGGGAAGGCTCCCCATGCAAGACATGGGCAGCCCCAGGGGCAGCAGCATTCTGGTTGTGCCCCGCCCCATGTGGCCAAGCTGAAACCCTGAGGGAGTCCAGGGGTCCTGCCTCATCTCCCACCACTGATGCCCACCCCAGCTCCCAGTGCCAGAGTGCCTCAGGATCCTCTTCCCAATACCCTCCCCTTTGCTTCAACTCTTAGCTCCGATTCAACCCCCTCCTCCAGGAAGTCCACCGTGATCCTCCCAGGCTGATCCTCACCCAGCTAGGTGGTCATGGAATAGATCCATATCAGCCAGATCTTCTTGCACAGCCAGGGCTCAGGGAGGTCCAGAATCAGGTTCTGGTCCGGGGGCAGGTCACCACAACTCACTAGCTCTCAGTTTTCCTGCCTGTCATGAGGAATGAGTAAATCCTCATGGCAGGGGTACCTGCAGCCCACAGAGCGGCTGTGAGAGGGGCCCCGTTCAGACCGAGCACCGGAGAGGCTCAAAGACTGCCAATATGGCTGAGGTCCCTAGCAGAGGGGCTGGCGGAGGTGTTCCTGCTACACCATCCCAAGGCAGTCCCACCCTCCACCGACCCACACACAGCAGGTTTGTCTTCTTGTCCCTCAGACCTCTGTGCAGAACACACACTTGGACTCTCAGGCCCAGGCAAGCCAAGGGAGTCCCCTGAGGCCATGCAGCCGGTGTTGGGGCCAGGCGGGGCCACCTGAGCACACCTCACCCCAACGGGACTGCTGGAGCTGGCCTCAGGGACCCCTCACCCTGACGTCAGCTGAGTGCCCAGTCTACCTTCTGTCCTGAGCACTGCACACACAACTGTTCCTTCATTCCTGCAGCCAACTGGGGGGCAGGGAGGCGGGCCGAGGCCCTGCCGACCACAGGAGGGCAGCAGGACTCACAGCCAGCTATAGGGGTGACCTGGCCTCCTTGCTGGGGTGAGCTCTCCTCCAGCACGTGGCTGGGCTGGGCTCAGTAAAGGGGGTCTTTATGCTCTGGCCCAGGTTGGGAAAGGGCGGGGCCCATTCATCCAGAAAC